TTCACATAGTATCATCAACCTGTTCACATAGTATCATCAACCTGTTCACATAGTATCATCAACCTGTTCACATAGTATCATCAACCTGTTCACATAGTGTCCTCAAAGCGCAACTTTCTATATTCTAGAATATTAACCTAAATAAACAATACATTGTAGCCACGTATGATCTCAGAATCAAGAAACATGACATTGTAGCCACGTATGATCTCAGAATCAAGAAACATGACATTGTAGCCACGTATGATCTCAGAATCAAGAAACATGACATTGTAGCCAGGTATGATCTCAGAATTAAGAAACATGACATTGTAGCCACGTATGATCTCAGAATTAAGAAACATGACTTTGTAGCCACGTATGATCTCAGAATCAAGAAACATGACATTGTAGCCACGTATGATCTCAGAATCAATAAATATGACATTGTAGCCACGTATGATCTCAGAATCAATAAATATGACATTGTAGCCACGTATGATCTCAACGTATGATTTTCATTTCATCTACACGTTTTATTTTGAAACTGGTTTTTCTGAATTAAGGAAATAATAAATTATATATGTCTCTGTAATATATAAATCCATTTTTTTTGCTAATCAAAAATCTGTCATATGTATATATTTAGTCATTTTTATTGAAAAATTTCAAAGTATTGTTTATATTTGGCTAATCTCTACTGAGAGGAGAACCACATTTGTCTACTGAGGGCAGTGTCTTGTACACTGCTGACACGTACTTTCAGTGTGACTGATATGTTGTTCTCCTTGACTTAGACTGGACCTAGGAATGTGTGTGTGTCGTGTTGTGTAGTTGTAGATGTAGTTAGAACTGTTATGGTCTGTCGCTCTCTACGTTCCTCCATCTCTCACTGTTGAATCTGCTGTCTAGCTAACGATTTTTCTTTATCCTTTCAGAATAGTATCCGTCCTGTAAGTGCTGCATGGTGTTTCTCTGTGAAGTGTCAATTTTTGTCAGCTTACTTTTTCTTGCCTAGCCACTATAAGCTGCGTGTGTTTACATGAGACCAGTTATTCACTGCTTAGTTACTGATATTTTCTGTTATGCAGCTTATTGTTGCTAGGTGCACTTGCCAGCAATAAATGTTGCAAGGAGTTGAATTGCTAGCGTTTCACAGGATGCTTATCTGCAGTGTTCAGCTCCTGACCTCCTTCACACTCACTCCTTGATGCACGCACACACGAATGGCCACGTTACTAACTAGTTTTGCTCATTTAGAGTTTCCTAATTTAACTTTTGTTTCTTAAGGGCAGCAATACGAGGATAATTTCATTACGTCAAAATGTCAAGTATGCAACTGGCCTTGTCTGTGTTGTATGGGAATGCTGCTGGAGTTTGTTGTCAAGACATTACTCTCTCAAAGATTCGCATTATTTTCCTGCCTTGACTGGAAAAGTCGAGTGTCGCTAATCTTTTTATAAAAATACTCAGGCCGTTTTATACAACATACTTGTCTTCATTCATGAATAACCCGCTAATTGGTAATAAAAGCTGAATGACGTTTAGACCAGTGTCGGACAGTTACCTTTCGCGATTCGATAATGGATTAAAACGTCATCCAGTTTTCATATCCATTATATGGGTTGTTAAGTCTCCAGCCACGGTACTGTAACTTGCATTCTTTTTGTATTCATATTTACTGGAACCAGAATTCACGAGTATACTCAAAACACTGCGAATCTCTGAGACTAGAGTTCCGTACATTACGTTACTCTTGGCAGAGTCTTCAAGAGAACGAACTTCCCTCCTCCTCCTTCATCACCTGCCTCATGCTGCACTTCTCTTATATTACGCTGTAAGGTTTTGGTCTATTAGCTTTTGCATTTTGTCCTTCTCTTTAAGATATTTTGTAAAACTGTGAACCTAGCAGACCACCGACTGTTTTTTTTTCTAGTGTAAACACCATCTACGTTAGCGAAAGCGTCCACTTTAACCAGTGAGTATTGTATGCACTGTAAACACGGACTCGTTTATCTATTCATTATAAGCGTTTCACCGAGTGATTAAGACAGTTTTATGGCCCAAATCCGTATACATAAATTTCTCAATGTTTTTTCCCTACATGGAGTCACTTGCACAAATTGCGCACTATAGTCACTCTTCATCTATTAATTTAAAAATAAATTCCAGAAAATCCAAAACGTTAGATTTTATGAGAAATGAAATTCTTGGCTCACACCTTGCCTCTTGCACCCTGGCCACCCCTCTTACCCCTGTGGCTAGATTTGTAGTTGCTTCAGGTGAGCCCTACACCTGGGCGTCTACTTTCACATCTCAACGAAGCGAACATCTGCCAGACGGAACACAACTGCGGTGAGTCACCGGCGACGTTTGTTTTAAATTACTGTGAATACAATACTTCCAGTTGTGTCACTTAAGAGGCACGTAAGTTCCCCCGTCTTCTAATAACAAGTTCATTTTTCCACTATAATCTACCTTGTCCATAATTACTATCGCATTTGCTTTGTTTCGTAAGGTGAAGTCCAGGATCTTTCCTTAATTCATGGTATAACTTAACAAATCTTTGAGGACAATTGTGTTGCAGAGGTCTGAGCACAGCTCAGACCTCTGCAACACAACTGCTAAATTGTACCATGAATGAAGGAAAGATCCTGGACTTCACCTTACGAAACAAAACAAATGCGATAGTAATTATGGACAAGGTAGATTATAGTGGAAAAATGAACATGATATTAGAAGACGGGGGAACTTACATGCCTCTTAAAGCCCATAACCACGACCCCGAGGAATCATATCACATAGCGTTTACGTCATTAAGGTTACCCTCATTTTCTGAATTCACAAACAATACGATATACACGCCTTGTAATGCTCTTCGTACACTTTTTACCTTAAATATTAAAAATATCGGTATGTTGTTGATAGCTCAGTTGGCAACGAGCACTGGGCGAGGGTGCCACGCAACACTGGCGCTGAAGAACACGAGAAAATATGGTAGTTACTAACCACATGGTGGACCATGGTAGCAATGATCACTGACTCACAGGATCACCATTCTGTGATGGTAGTGCATAAATTTGAAGAGATCAGTCCTTTACAAATCGACACACTGTTTTCACAGGGCTTCTGTCTGCGTTATTCACTCAGCAGCCATAAATACCTAGCTGTCTGTGCTCTCTTGTCGCTCCTGTGGCTTTCACTTTCCTCCTCGCTTTCTGAAAGCTCTTTCTCGGATATAAAAATTTACTTTTCCGAACTTTAACATTTTAAAATCTGTGATTTCGTTACAATTTTACACCTTTTTAATATATATATATATATATATATATATATATATATATATATATATATATATATATATATATATATATATATATATATATATATATATATATATATATATATATATATATGTATATATATATATAATGTCGAGCCGAATAATTAAAACATGATATCTGGATTAAATAGCAACGCTCATCGTGCCATATAGGACAAGTGAAAATTTGTGTATGCAATAATTTCGCATCTAACGAAAAAATATATTTCATTGTGTTTGTTTATTATTAAATCATCGTAAACTTACCTAAAATATATTTACTTGGATTAAGCTAAATTAAATTGCGCTTGTTATAAAGTTAGGTAAGTTTACTAAGGTTCTTTTGGTACAAAATCATTAATTTTTATATTAACGTAAATGAAAAGAAATGTATCGTTAATTGTACGTATAAGAGAATTTTTTTTAGAAAGGGCTTAATATTAAATGAATTCTAGCTAACTGGCCAATTTTACCTATTCGGCACGATATATATATTATATATATATATATATATATATATATATATATATATATATATATATATATATATATATATATATATATATATATATATATGTTAGTTATTACTCTTAATTTCTGATAAATAATAAGATAAGATTTTATCGAAGGTATGTTAACATGCAAGCCGGAGAAGAAGCGAGTTTGTTTGGATGTTATTAGCTCAGTTGAGCTGTAATCGGTGTGTGTGAGTGAGAGAAAAGAGAGAGAGAGAGAGAGAGAGAGAGAGAGGAGAGAGAGAGAGAGAGAGAGAGAGAGAGAGAGAGAGAGAGAGCAGGGGAAACACAGAGTAAATATAGAAACAAGTTTCTTTACTTATTAGGTTGGACTAATGTCTTGTAAACGTTTGGTTGACGAGGCCCTGACTGCTTAGAGCCCAAAAGGGACAATGAACCTGGTTGACCTGACGACAGTCATCACGAACTGGTATTATGACAGTCTTCCCTGTGGAACTGACAGCGAAGAGGTTTTAGCATAACACCGTAGGTTATGATTTGTTAGTGTAGCACTGCCACAGTAGCAGTTACAGTGACCAGTGACAACAGTAGTAGTTTCAGTGACCAGTGACGACAGTAGTGGTTACAGTGACCAGTGACAACAGTAGTAGTTTCAGTGACCAGTGACGACAGTAGTGGTTACAGTGACCAGTGACAACAGTAGCAGTTTCAGTGACCAGTGACAACAGTAGTGGTTACAGTGACCAGTGACAACAGTAGCAGTTTCAGTGACCAGTGACGACAGTAGTAGTTACAGTGATTGGATGGTGATGATGGAATGGCAGGTATACTAGATGTGGCAGGTATGGTGGGTATTGCAATTTTGGTGGGTGTGGCAGGTGTGGTGGGTGTGGCAGATATGGTGGGTGTGGGAGATGTGGTGGGTGTGGCAGATGTGGTGGGTGTGGCAGATATGGTGGGTGTGGGAGATGTGGTGGGTGTGGCAGATGTGGTGGGTGTGGCAGGTGTGGTGGGTGTGGCAGATGTGGTGGATGTGGCAGGTGTGGTGGGTGTGGCAGGTGTATTGTGCATGGTGAATGTATTGGATGAGGTAGGTGTGGTGGACATCACTGTTCTAGCAGTTGTGGCAAGTGTGGCTGAAGTGGTTGATGTAGCAAGTGTGTGGGAGATATAGCAGGTGTGGAACATAGGTGTGCAGCACTGAAGCAGCACTCCCTCCACAGGTGTGCGAGCACTGCAGTTACCGCAGTGCCAAGGAGTACAACTGGCAGAACCGGGCTGTCATCCTGGCCGCTGATTACGCCAGTAACGGCATCTACAACTTCCTCATACCTCTGAGAGCGCACTTCAGGTGAGATGATCTTGAGGTGAGACCAGCTTCAGGCGAAATCACGTAAAGTGAACCCTGGTAAATAACCCAACTAAACGGTCACACGTCAGCCATCAATTTCAGGTTTAGAGTTGGGATTGGTTCCACCTTGCAATATATATATATATATATATATATATATATATATATATATATATATATATATATATATATATATATATATATATATATATATAACGAGAGAGAGAAAGAAAGAGAGAGAGAGAGAGAGAGAGAGAAGAGAGAGAGAGAGAGAGAGAGAGAGAGAGAGAGGAGAGAGAGAGAGAGGAGAGAGAAGAGAGAGAGAGAGAGAGAGAGAGAGAGAGAGATTTTGAAATACTTAACAATTCGCAAAAAGGCTAAATTATTTACAAACTTTAAACTCTCAGTCCACAGCAGGATTCAAACCTGCACAGTTTGCACCAGTGCTTTACCCAGTGCGTCTCCCGTGCAACATACTTCTCATTGTATTGTTATGACGGTCCACAAGTGGAGGAATGTTTGCAATATAAAAAACAATTTTGAAATCTCCCTTAATTTTGAAATCTCCCTTTAATTTTGAAATCTCCCTTTAATTTTGAAATCTTCCTTTAATTTTGAAATCTTCCTTTAATTTTGAAATCTCCCTTTAATTTTGAAATCTTCCTTTAATTTTGAAATCTTCCTTTAATTTTGAAATCTCCCTTTAATTTTGAAATCTCCCTTTAATTTTGAAATCTCCCTTTAATTTTGAAATCTTCCTTTAATTTTGAAATCTCCCTTTAATTTTGAAATCTCCCTTTAATTTTGAAATCTCCCTTTAATTTTGAAATCTCCCTTTAATTTTGAAATCTCCCTTTAATTTTGAAATCTTCCTTTAATTTTGAAATCTCCCTTTAATTTTGAAATCTCCCTTTAATTTTGAAATCTCCCTTTAATTTTGAAATCTCCCTTTAATTTTGAAATCTTCCTTTAATTTTGAAATCTCCCTTTAATTTTGAAATCTCCCTTTAATTTTGAAACTTTCCTTTAATTTTGAAATCACCTTTAAACCTAGAAGAACGTTCTCATATTTCTTAATAAGAAATATCAGTAGTGTATGAGTGGATTGAGAAATATCAATATAATATTCATAAGGGAGCGCTAAACTCGTATGAATGATAAAGCACATGTGGTAGGAAAAGTAAACAGGTTCAACTTTTAGATGAAAAAAAGCGAAGCAGAGTGTACTTGATGAAGCTCGTTAACTATTAGGTTAGGTAAGGTTCCTCAGGGAACAGGACAAGCGTTTCCTGACGTTGGAGCTTTTGGTCATCTGACCGAGGCCTTCCGTTGGCTTACCGGTTCACCCCTTTAAAAGTAAGGGCTGTAATAAAACGCGAAGCTTCTTCTAAATATATTGTTTTGCATCTTTCTTGACAGAAAGAAGACGTCGCTAAACCCCATCATACTCTTGTTAGAGCGGCGACCTGACGTAGCTTTCCTTGATGCTATCTCCTTCTTCCCGCTCATCTACTGGATGCTGGGGTCCATCGACTGGTGAGTCCTCTACACTGACGGTCTTTTTCACACAGTCAGCGTCGTGTACGCATACACGGGGTCTTGTGCACTCACTTGCGGTCTCGTGCTCACATTCAGGGTCTTGAAACACACACACTCAGTCTTGGACTCTCACTCAGGGAACTCGGCGTGAAGGCAGTTTAACTTATAGGTTAAATTCTACTAAGCTTCCTTGTGGTTAATTGTTACTTACAAATACATATGCATTGCTGTACGAACACCTGTATTGTTACAAATGCACATGTGTGTTTTTTAGTATTAGTGTTATAATAAAAAAAGAAGCGCTAAACCACAAGGGTTATACAGTGCAGCAGGGCAGGGAAGGATGCAGGGGTAATGGGTAGCAAGAGGGAGAGGGATGATTATTAGGTTATGAAGTGTTGAGGGGCAGTGGATAGTGCAGGGGTAGAGGATAGCTAAAGATTAAGGTAGAAAGGACTGAGGAGAGTGTTAGTGACATCATCATCAGTTGCTGTCAGAAAGTCAATGAGAGAGTCTGGATTAAAGGAGGATCCATCAGCAAGAAGGGAAAGTAAGTAAATGCAGTAGAGCAGTGACGATGTTGGAGGTAAATTCTGAGTGCTCGTTGACAGAGTGGACAGTCCAACAGAATGTGGCTAACAGATACAGGAACTTGACAATTCTCACAGAGAGGAACAGGACTCCTCTCCATGAGATACCCGTGAGTAAGATGAGTGTGGCTGATGCGAAGACGGGAGAGAGTAGTCTCCCAATCTCGACACTGATGACAAGAAGACAGCCAGAAATCTATACTCGGTTTAACAGAATGAAGTTTGTTATGGAGCAGATCAGACCAACGTTGTTGCCAACGGGTGCGAAGATGGGTAGCAATTACAGCAAAATAGTCTGTGAATGGAGCACCTCTATATGAAACTGGGAGGTCATGTACTGCTGACCGCGCATCAGTGTCTTCCTGTTCATTGCCCTGTATGTCAACATGACCAGGGACACAGCAAAAAACAATATCTCTGTGTTTGCTAGAGATACGGCATAACCACAGTTGGATACAAAGAACTAGGGAGTGAGGTGTATCTAATTTCTGTATAGCCTGTAAAGCACTAAGGGAGTCTGAAATGACCACAAATGGTGACACAGGCATAGATGCAATATGGATGAGTGCTATAAGAATGGCATATAATTCAGCCGTATAAATGCTAGCCGAGGGTAATAAATGCCCTCTCACGACACTGTCCAGAAACTGCTGCGAATCCGACGACATCAGAAAACTTAGAACCAAAGGTGTACATCTCGATGGCATGAGAATGAGAGTGGAAGTGGTCAAGAAAAAGAGAGCGGGAAGCCACCGTAGGTAGTTGGGCTTCTGCGCATGACAGTGGGAAAGAGACACGAACAGCCGGAACTTCCCAAGGGGACATGGAAAAGTGAGATGCTACACGAACATAGAAAGGTGGTAACTGAAGGGAAAACAAGAGCGAATGTAGGCGGAGAGAAAAGGGACGGAGTAAACAAATAAAGAACGTCTATTAACATCAGTGACTACTATATACGGAAGGACTGTAGAGGTCATGAGATCGAACATAATAGCAAAGGCAATGAGCATCACGGTGATCAGACAAGGATGGAAAATTCGCTTCTGCATAGAGGCTTTCAACAGGGGATGAACAAAAGGCACCAAGGCACAGATGGAGACCTGGGTGATGTGTAGAATCTAACTTAGAGTTGTGGGAGAGGCTGCAGAATAGATTTGGTTACCATAATCTAGCTTGGATAAGACTAGGGTAGAATGCAAACAGAGGAGAGTGCGACGATCCGCTCCCCATGAACGATGTGCGAGAACCTTAAGGAGATTTAGCCGACCATGGCAAGTTGTGTTTAACGAAGAAATGTGAGATTTCAACATCAGCCGGCGATCAAAGAGTAGGCCCAGAAACCTGACCGTATCACATGCCGGAATACGCGAACCGTGTAAGTACAAGGGAGTATCCAGAATAAGCGGCCATCTAATGAGGGTAATGAAACGGGTTTTTGTGCTGGAAAGTTTAAAGACTCGGTCTATCACAACCTGAAGGGAGGCTGCTACTAGTCGACAGTCAGTGTCCGAGTAAGCTGTAGCGAAGTCATCAACATAAAGTAATGACCAAATATGCGAAGGAAGAATGGAAGGTAGGTCATTCATAGCTAAGAGAAAAATAGTAGTACTGAGGACTCCTTCGGCTTGTACAAAAACCGAGGAAAGCGAGGCGCCAATGCGGACCCGAAAATGTCTATCAGAGGCCTAGGGAGTGGGCTTGGGCTAGAATGTTATACCCCCAAGTGGTGTCATATGCCTTCTCTAGATCGAAAAAGACTGCTAAGACAGAGTGGTTGTTAGCAAAGGCATTTCGAATATATGTATCGAAGTGGAGCAAGGGGTCTAAAGTAGAGTAGCCTTTGTGAAAGCCATATTGGCGAGGGAAAAGGCTGTTGTGTGTCTCTAAGAACCACATCAGACATCTATTCACCTTGCAGACCACACTGGGACGATAGTAAGAGGTGTCAAGCCCTGAGGCGCCCGGTTTGCGATACGTTAGTACAATAGCTGATTTCCAGTGTTGTGGGAAAACCCCTCACTCCCAAATTAGATTGAAAAGACGTGAAAGAACGGGAAGGGGCGTAGAATGGAGATGGTGTAGCATACTGATGTGGATATCATCAGGTCCCAGTGTCGACGGCCGGCACAAGGAAAGCATGGACTCTAATTCTAGAAGAGTACAAGGTATGTTATACAGCTCCAGTCCATTGGAGGAGAAATCTAAGGGCAATTGCTCTTTGGTAGGTTTAGATGTAAGAAATGAGGGACAGAGATGAAGCCCTAGGGAGATATGGACAAGATAGTTCCCAACTTCTGTGGCAACTTCTAAAGGTTCTGCGACATCAACTCCAGCAACCTACAAAATGGGAGCTGGGTCCAGAGTGTACTTACCACACAATTTTCACACCTTTCTCCAAATCATGCACATAGGGGATGACGAGGTAATGATAGACACGTAGTCTCGCCAACAAGCGCATTTAGCGTCGCATATGATGCAGTGAGCAACTGCCCTTCCCCACCTAAAGCCCAACAGACGCTCCTCGGTACGGTTATATCAATAACGGCCCCACACAGCATGTTTTAAACTCCCACACGGGCGCATGTAGGAGACCACCAAGGTATGCATGACCGAGAATGCCTACTTGAGGTTTGGGGGATAGAACGAGTCTCTGCAGTTAGAACTGAGGTCGAAAATTGGTGCATCAGTTCATCAGTAGACGACGAAAGGGGGTCCTCGCAACAGGTGGTAAGATGGGAGTATAAGTCCCAACCTGCTCTAGCAAATTTCCAACTAGGGTTACGAAACGGTCGGGTATATGTAGCAGAAGTAAGAAGGATAGGAAAGCAATCACTATCATGTAAATATGGAAGAACAGACCACGTGAAATTAAGTGCACTGGGCGAGGAACAGATAGAAAGATCAATGCAGGAGAGAGGCTGAGTGCGAGTCAAAATGAGTAGGAGCACCTGTATTTAAAAAATGAAGAGATTGAGAAGCGAGAAGTCTCCAACTGATCACAAGAGTCACAGTGGGACCCTCCTCACAGGTGATGGTGAGCGTTAAGATTACCCAACAACAAGATGGGCAGCGGTAGAGAAGAAATTAAAAACGCGATATCAGAAATACAGAATGCACGGGAGGGAGAAAAATAAAGAGAGCAAAATGTAAACCATCTGTGTAAATAAATCTGAGCTGCAGTATAATGCAGTGGGGAACTAATAAAAACTTGCTGATACAGCACATCAACGCGCACAAGAAGCACGCTTTCGTTAAATTATTAGTCAGGTTAAGGATCTGAAGAATGTAATAGTGCATAGCCCGAAATGGGACGAATGATGGCAGAACGAATTTTGGGCTCTTGCAACCCAACACATACTGTGGACAACTGGGAGATCAACACTTAGAGTTCTCTTCAATTGCCCCTAAGGCCACGAATATTCCATTGTAAAAAAGACATTGTGTACAAAAATAAAACTGGCAACAATAAGAAATGATAAAACCTATGGGCTTTTAGAATATATAGTCAACGTGTGGGGGTAACGATAAGCGTGTAAGCAAGGAGGAATGTGAATGTTGCGGAGGAATAGTGTTGCGAGGGTCGCAAAATAGAAGAGGTAGAAGGAGTCGTGTTGGTGTCCATCGGGGTGTCGTCTCTGCAGCATAGCTGGAGATAGCGTCTAATGTCTCTGTTGTTAAGGAAGCCGACGATGCCATGCTGTCAGAGACAGGAGAGGCATTGCAAGGAAAGGTCGGAGTAACTATGGAGGCAACTAAAGAGGTCTGAGAGGGGGCAGGGAGTATGAACCTGGAGAGATGCATCGGCTGGGATAGAAGAGGTCTGCAGTGTAACAGGAGAGGAAGGAGGATGGAGGGTAACTATGGTGGAAGACGAGGGGGGTGAACCTCTACCTTCGTGTGAGAGCTGAAAAGGGGGTGAGAACGAGGCTCCGAGGTAGGAGATATATTCTGTGCAGGTGATGGTCGCAAAGAAAGTGTAGGTCTGTGAGGTCTCGTAGACTGAGAAGCAAGAGAGTGAGATGAAGTAGAAGTAGGAAGTGGTACAGAGGTACGAGTGTCAGAGGATAAAACTGCAAAAGAATTAGAAACTGGGGCGACCCCGGAAGACACAGACGCAGAGGGATTGGGAGGCGGGAGGACCGTCGAGGTTGGAGGTCTTTGGGCTATCCGAGCATACGGGACACGAGGGAGTTTACCTTGAAGGTGGAGCTGAGAGACAGTCACAGTGTAAGTGAGGCCCTCATGCTCCTTAAGATAACGGATCTCTCCTTCATTACGATAAACCTGGTAATGACATGAAAAGAAAGGAAGAGGTTCCCTGCAATTGAGACAAGAGGGGAGAAGACTACAAGACATTGGAATGATCTGCTGCACTGCAGACCGGGCATTCCACCACAGATCTGCAGTATTTAGCGGGGTGTCCAAAAATGCCAGCAATTACGACACTGTTGGGGAGTGGGAACTACTTGACGGACCTCTAGGCGATGTCCCACAATATAGACAGAGGACGGAAGTTCACTGCAGTCGAAGTTAAACGAGCGATGTTACTAGGAAAAAGCCTCCGTAAACGAGCAGGCAGGATGTACATATCTACCTTAAGAATAGAGAGGTTCTGAAGGGCTAATTGTTCTAAAATATCCTTGCCGCAATACAAAAAAAACACTCTGTACAATGGTACGTGGTAAGACCACAGTACCACTGCAAGAATAAAGAGTAGAGTGCTTATGAACGGTGACTGGTATGTTATCCATGGAAGTAATGTGGGAGAGAGCATGAGCTTGCTCTGAATTCTGCACTGTTACGACACGCGCACCGCTTCGAAGAGCGTGGAAGGATATATTTTGCCCAACTTGCCATAAAAGAGTTTTACCAATTCCGTGATCAGAAAGATAGTCAATCAGAAACGTCGTTTGTAAAGAAAAGAATTTTGTCCATTGCATACTCATTAGTCCGGTATGCAAATGCAGTGAGTGTCGTGTAGATCGTTTTTGAACAGTCATCGACGAACTGCCGTCAGTAAGTTGTCTTGGACACTTAGGAGCAGAACCACAGGTGGTCTGACCCGTGGGAGGTGGGAGATCCGAGAACCATCGCACAGTATTCGAGGAAGCCGGACGCATTGTGAAAGGTGTGCTAGAAACAGCGGCATGAACAGAAATGGGTGACGCCGCAGCACCTAAAGCAAGTGATGAGGCGTCACCGGCAGAAGGTACAGAAGTATGAGAAGAGTCGAGAGAATGGTCCGATAACGAAGCCAGATCACAACAGGGTGTGGGATCAGAATGGGGCCTGGGAGGAGGAAGGGTTTCACAGGGTGAAGACTCCATAATAATAGGTGCATCTTCTGTAATAACTTTCTTGTTATTTTAAGAAAAGAAGAAAGAAGGAAAGAAAAAAAGAGGGGCAGTGGAGGGACAGTCACTAGGTGGTATGGAGGGACCGAAAGCTCCTCCCCTCATCTGAGAGTGCCTCGAGCCCACTGGCAGTGAAGATACAGCGTGGAACCTGTGTCATACCTTAGCCATCACGCTAGTAAACCAGTGCTCCAGGATAGCAGCCTCACATTCACCGAGCTACCTCGGCGGACAAAAGACTGTCGGAAATCCACCACAAAGTTTACCTCCTTTGGCTGCCACCCCCCAGAACCCACAGGCAGCTTCCGGAGATACACCCCCATCATCTAAAGAGCACCCCGCCCACGGCCCAGAAATCCGGGAAGGGAGCAGGGCATCCTCAGACAACTCAGATTAACCATACCACGGGCGGGATTTGAACCCGCGGTCAGAGAGTCTCAAAACTCCAGACCGTCGCGTTAGCCACTTGACCAGCTACCCACAATAAGATTTGTCCAACTAGGTATATTTCTACACCATAGGAAGGTTAGCATAGGCACCACTGTGACCACAAATGCAAGTTTTTACAGACGAATCTCCAGCTAGCTCAAGTCCCCTCACTGCTGGTCCAGTGGCTAACGCGACGGTCTGGAGTTTTGAGACTCTCTGACCGCGGGTTCAAATCCCGCCCGTGGTATGGTTTGTTTGCAATCGTGTCATTACGATTTCAAGAGTCAACTCAGATTACATAGCAAACTACACCACCCCGAGGGACCTCACGGAGTGGTACAAACCCCGGCATGCTACCCCCTACCTAGAAACTGTAATGCCAGAGGGAAGGACCCCAAAGGCTACAAAAGGGACGGGAAACAAGGGGAGGATGGGGAGAAGGAAGGAAAGGGGGAAAATGGGGGGTATGGGAAGGGCGGGGCAGGGAAGGGTGGATTGGGGGGGTAATTAGGCTCAGTCGGAGGAAGACCAAAAGGTCCAATTCCTCAGACCGATAGTCTCTTTACCGTTACAAGGCGCCCCCTTTAAAGAGGATGTGTGTTCTTATAGCACACTTCTGCATAATCTCATGAACATTAGATATTATATCAGCACAAAAGCCCCTAAGTGGTTAAAACAGAAAAATTGCTTGCTAAATATTTTGGCTTATTATTGAGGCTCTCTTCCTGCTGAAGAGGACCATTGAGAGCACTGAATGCTTCTTCCTACTGAAGAGGACTTCGATAATAGTCCAAAACACACAGAACTGAACTCATTTTCTGCCTTACTAGCTACCAGTGTATATTATACTTTTGCATTTCTATTTATTACAACATATTTTGAGAATATAGCCTGAGTATTGCGGTGTAAGTGTTGACTGTGTTGCAGCCTGGACGACCTGCTGCGTGCAGGCATCAACCTGGCAGAGAACGTGGTAGTGGTGAACAAGGAACTCAACAACTCGGCTGAGGAGGACACTCTCTCTGACTGCAACACCATAGTCGCCGTCCAGACAATGTTCAAGTAAGCCATTCACTTATTTAACGCGAACCGATTCTGGAAGCGTTTCCAGAAAAAAGATAACCAAATATTGCACAGGTCTCTCACTTACTAATCAGTCTTCCTCTCCATGAGCAATACCGCTCATACCACCACACCGACAAGTAAGTAAGTAGGTTTATTCAGGTATACACAAATACGGTTACATAGATCATACATAGCAGCATATGTGTAGAGAACCTGGGATAACCCAAAAAAGTCAGACAAAGTGACTTATTTCCATTGGGACTTATGATTTCTACTCTATAAATTCTCTACCTAACATTCATACCACGCATTCATCCCAGATATATATATATATATATATATATATATATATATATATATATATATATATATATATATATTATATATATATATATATATGTGTGTGTGTGTGTGTGTGTGTGTGTGTGTGTGTGTGTGTGTGTGTGTGTGTGTGTGTGTGTGTGTGTGTGTGAGTGTGTGAGTGTGTGTGTGTGTGTGTGTGTGTGTGTGTGTGTGTGTGTGTGAGTGTGTGTGTGTGTGTGAGTGTGTTTGTGTGTGTGTGTGTGTGTGTGCGTGTGTGTGTGTGTGTACAGTTGTACGTAAACGATAGAAGTCGAAAAATAGTGAATTTCCAAGCACTTTCCTGATTTCTAATATTATCAATAAAGACAGATAAGGGTGAGACATGACCTCACATATGTCCTCACATGTGACCTGACACCTGACCCAGCACGTTGAGTGTGGGAGTATAGTGAAGATTTGGTCAGATCTCAAGTCACGTAAAATTTATGAGTGATATGTCAAGCATAGCTTAAATTCCTCACAAATTCTATTAATTATAAATTACTCAAATTTATATAACCCTGAACTAATATTCATATTAAAATCAATACTATTTTTTAATGAAAAGTGATTCGATTATATTTTTCTCAACCATAGACCTGCTTGGTACAACTTTCTCGGCCCTTTTGAAAATCCGTTGGATGGTTAAAATCTCCCACATGAATCAACAAAGCATTAGAATCTTGTCTACTTCCAGTAATTACTTACTTACTTTCTTACTTATGTTGCTGTAATTTTAATTCAAGAATTTTACCAGTTTGACCATAATAAACGTTTGCATTTTTTTTTTATTACTGAGTTCATAATGTTATTTCCATAAAACATCGCTAATTTTATTATAAATATTAGTGTTAAAGTGATGCAAATACAAAAGAGTCATCAATGGCAGGACGGAAGATATGTCATTCATATAACTAGTGACAATAATTATTCAGCTTTACACCACAAACTGTCTAAGTAGTTTAGTTAGCTATCTCTAAGTATACTTATAAATGTAGTGACTTAATGTAAGTAGATATCACATTTTCGTGACTTACAAGTTATAGGAACGACTTATGGTGACTCGAAGCTGTGTTATCCTGGTGTGTCTACCCTTCCCCCCTGCACCATCATGGAGTAATGGTGCTCAGTCCAATTACTGTGACCAGAGTAAGTCGGAACACCGAGTAAAATGGGATATGACTCAAAAAATCGTAATGACGCGATTCCAAACAATCCACGGTACGGTTGGTGACTGAATTCTCGGTGAGTGCGTCCGTCTGGAGTTTTACTGCTCACTCACCGCGAGTTCCACCCCCACCCGTACCGTGGTTTAAAATGGGATATAAATATGCCAATACGACAGACATTTTGTAAAATTTTTTGCTTCAGTAATAATGTGTTGTCGTTGTACTTACTTGACAGAAACTTCCTTGACGCCGGCCAGGGATTCTTGGTTTGTAGACCTGGACCTTCTCCTCTCCTTCCCGGGATCGAACCTGATTAATTCCCATAACACCTATTTTTTAATGGATGAAATAATTTCGTTGTGCAGGGGTAGAGGGACAAGGATGGTAACCCGAGTTCAGGTATATATTACAAGTTCTTTGAACAATTAATCTAAATATGTAAATGTAAAATATGAATGTAAATTAGTAAAAGAGATTACTTCGCAGGTTCTTCCCTAATATCAAGATCATCACGGAGTTGTCGCAGTCGTCCAACATGCGATTTATGCAGTTCCGCGCCCGGGACGCGTACGCCCTTCACCTGTCTAAGATGGAAAAGGTACAACTCTCCCCACATGACCATATTGATGGACCCGAACGGATTAACGAGTCATTGTCACCGGTAACGATCTCGCTGTTGCTGTCATTAGTGTTTGATCTAGTGTTCATATGTCGTCCCAACCCACCTTAGTCGACCTGACCCAGAACAACCACGAGTAGCAAGGCCATTGCCGTAGGTGGTGTGTGGGCAGCACCATTGTCACTGCCGCTGCCTCCAGACGGCCCAACTCAACAACACCACCAGCCATTCTCAATACAGGGAGCATGATACACACACATCTCCATGTAATGTTTACTCTCTTGTTCATCTATTGCATTATACTTTATACAATTATTTTGGTTTATTGTTAATTTGTAATTAAAAGCAGTCAGCTTAGTACAAAGTCACATATGAGAGAGAGCGAATGAAATTGAAGATGAGCACTGTATATTTCGTCCTCACACTGAGGCCCTCTTCAGCAGACAGTGTAAGATCAAAATGTACACTACTATTCTTCTCTTTTATCTTCCTCATGTGGGTTTGTTTGACCCATTGACAAGTGTTTGGTACACTTGTCTTCCCAGTCAACTTGTTAACTCAAAGAAGTGTAAAACAATGCAACGTAATACCAGAAAGATACGAGTAGCTATGTCTAGAGTGACCCGAGTCACCCATGGAGTCCTGCCGGAGATGGTGCCTGTGTAGGACTCCTCCTTCCCTCCCAGCTCATGTGTAGTCTGTGTGGAGTGTAGCTGGTGCCTGTGGCCGGCTTGTGGTAGTGTTTCACGCGGCCTAAACTCACTACACCATAGAGGGACACTCGCTAGATAACAGATAGAGACGCCTTATAGTTCTGAATGTAGTAGTCAATATTTAGAGCAGACCTTCAGTTCTCTTCAGTAAATAAGATTTTTCACGAGGCAGTATACAAATCCCTAAATAAGATTTTTCACGAGGCAGTATACAAATCCCAAATATTTGTGCTCCTAAGATAAATCAAAACTGAAGATTTTCTCTTTCTAAGCCAGGTATATATACGCTGACATATTGTGTTCCAGCAGCTTAATAATTCTAATATTAACAATATTATTTTATAATTAATTTAGTCAAAAATATCATTGAGTAGTTTAAGTGTAAAGGCTTTGATTTGACCTAGAGTTTGAGTCATTAGCAACTACAGCTGCAAGATCACAGTGAGGCTAGAGTGGTAGTGGTAGATGTGGGTGGTAGTGTTGCCTGACACAACCTGGCCCTGCTTGGTGCTCCGTGATAGTGCCTGGCAGTGCCACAAAGTGCCTGGTGCTCCTTGATAGTGCCTGGCAGCGCCACAAAGTGCCTGGTGGTGTCTGATAGTGCCTGGCAGTGCAACAAAGTGCCTGGTGGTGTCTGATAGTGCCTGGCAGTACAACAAAGTGCCTGGTGGTCCCTGATAGCGTCTGGCAGTGCCACAAAGTGCCTGGTGGTGTCTGATAGTGCCTGGCAGTACCACAAAGTGCCTGGTGCTCCCTGATAGTGCTTGACAGTGCAACAAAGTGCCTGGTGGTGTCTGACAGTGCCTGGCAGTACCACAAAGTGCCTGGTGGTGTCTGATAGTGTCTGGCAGTGCCACAAAGTGCCTGGTGGTGTCTGATAGTACCTGGTGGTCCCTGATAGCGTCTGGCAGTGCCACAAAGTGCCTGGTGGTGCCTGATAGTGCCTGGCAGTACCACAAAGTGCCTGGTGGTGTCTGATAGTGCCTGGCACTACCACAAAGTGCCTGGTGGTGTCTGATAGTGCCTGGCAGTACCACAAAGTACCTGGTGCTCCCTGATAGTGCCTGGCAGTGCCACAAAGTGTCCGATGGTCCCTGATAGTGCTTGGCAGTTCCACAAAGTGCCTGGTGGTATCTGATAGTGCCTGGCAGTGCCACAAAGTGCCTGGTGGTCCCTGATAGTTCCTGACAGTACCACAAAGTGCCTGGTGGTCCCTGATAGTGACTGGCAGTTCCACAAAGTGCCTGGCAGTGCCACAAAGTGCCAAGTGATTCCTGATAGTGCCTGGCAGTACCATAAAGTGCCTGGTGGTCCCTGATAGTGCCTGGCAGTGCCACAAAGTGCCTGGTGGTCCCTAATAGTGCCTGGCAGTACCACGAAGTGCCTGGTGGTCCCTGATAGCGCCTGATGGTGCCTAGCGATGCTTGGTGGTGACTGACAGTTCTTAGTGGTGCCTATCAGCACTTGGTGGTTCCTGGCAGTGCCTGGCTTCCTCTTGTACGATGCCACACACCTACGCTGTACGCCCGGGATGCATGAGGCTAAATGTCTTCAGTCATGTGTCCATATTTATAAGTGTCTTTGCTATGCTTCCTTTCTGTATGAACTTAGTTGCCATGACAGTTACATTTCCAACTGTAGAGGTGAGGGTTGCCTGGCGGGGCATGAAGATCTCTCTAGGTCTCCTCCTTCGTGAAGTGTTGGGGCGGGATGTGTACCAGGGTCCTCCTGCCTCTCGAGTCATCATCACCTTACTAACCATGGTGGAGGTGCAGCCAAGTGTCACCCTCGTTCTGTGTCAGTGTTTACCTCCTATGTTAAGATTCGCC